ATGAAAAAGAATTCGTACTAGTTGCTTTTCGGACAGGTGACTTTTCGTGGCGAATTGGAAATTTCATCAGTTTATTCACGAGCCTCATCAATTCATAGAAATCAAGAACATCAGTCCCCGAAGGGAAAACTACGGTGTGTGTTTAATGAAATGGGGTATATTATTATTTTTAGAAATTGTACGTCTGGGTTAACAAAAAAAGCACTCAAAGCGATTATAAATGACTAGCCTTCTTACAGGGTGTCCCAAAAAAAGCACCCCCTCTAGCGGCGCGCAGTCGCGTCCGATTTTTATCGTTTAGGTATCTATCGAAAGCTCTTGAAAAGGCGAGAAAACAAGGAGGGTTTATTTTCTTTATTATCTATTTTTATTAGCAAATTTTACGTCCAAAAACCATGCAAACGGCAGACTTACGCGAGATCTGCATGCTAATCGCGAAATTCCTATTGAAAATCTACCTGATTTTTAGAAAAACGTTGAATGCCCAGCGTATAAAAATAAATCTCATAAAAGGAATCCTGCTTGTTTTCTCGCCTTTCCGAAGGCTTTCGAATGCTATAAAAATTATCCCGATCTGAGCTTCCCCCGGACCGCTAGAGAGTGCTTTTTTAGGACACCCAGTACTTAAAAAATCAAAAAGAATTAGGAATAAAAAACTTTAAAGAATAGTCTTAATGCAAAACATAACTGGACGCGATAATAGAGTGATGTTTCTTTAAATCGTGCTTAAATTTAGAGTCGGGACAGACTGGTGCCGTGCAAAAATTCTTGCTAGGATCAAAAAATTCAGTCATCCTCAATCACGGGTTTGATCTGCTCCTCAACGGCTTCCGGTTGAGCTTGACCTTCTTGGGCCACAGGAGTAATTGCGGCCACCAGATTCTTCGCCGAATTGTTGCTGGTCGTGCTGACGTTTACCTCTGAACGGGATTTTTTGTACCGGAAAGGGGCTCTTACTCAGCTTCGTCTTCCACCCAAAGAACGTCGAGAAATAGGCCTTGCGCATCGATTTGTTGACGATCAGGTAGATGATGCCGGGGGCCCCTAAAGATCGCTAGCTTTTTCTCTCTGCTTCTCTCGTCATCTGACACACACTCTCTTACTCCTCTCTCTCTCTCTCTCTCCTCTCTCTCTCTCTCTCTCTCTCTCTTTCTCTCTCGCTCTCTCTCTCTCTCTCGCTCTCTCTCCGATTATGCAAGGTATACCATTCGAAAACTGCCACATGATTGTCGAGCCAATGACAAAAGAGGGTGGAACCGGGATAAATTGCATCAAGCAGTAGATGGCCGACGCCGTCATCATCATCGAGCAGATCAGGAGGCATTGGATTACCACCTAGTTTTTAAAGGTTTAAAGATAAATTGTCATTCGAGGCGTGGCACGGAGTATTTTAGCTATGTTTGGGCCCCCGGCTTTTTCCAGATCGCACGCAACGCGACTGATTATGCGCGTTGCGTCTCACGGTGGCCGCAAAAGGCTTGCAAAATGTCACGCCTTACCTGCCCCTTTAAAAACTCACCACTCGCTGCATACGGGTCACAGCCGTATCTCCGGCAGCTTTTCGAGTCATTTTGAATAGAAAGGTCACCATCATCATCTAAAATTACCAGATTCCGCATCGCTACCAGAAAAAAAAAACGATACGTTTAAAATGATCGAGCAGGTCGTAACGCCGAGATTGTTGAACAGATGCACCGTGTTTGGCTAAAAATACAATATAAGTTATATAAATCGTTCGAAAACGTACCATCATCGGCTTGAAGATGTTGATCTCGAAAAAGTAGCCGGCTAGGATGGGGTTGAACACGCAGGGGACATTGGTTATCATGACGTACAGAATAAATGCTATCGGGCCACAGAGGATCCAGACGTAGACGCGGTAGCCGGAGAACAGGGTCTGAAGAGGACGTGAATCGTATACCGCGAAACGCGACGCGTTGCTTTGCGCGACAACGGGTTTGCACGCGTCGCGTATCGCGGGCCCGGCGAGCCGCTGTCGATGCCTGATTTGATCGGATTTAAATTGTCTGCCTATTAAAAACGTCTTGCTATGAATTATTCGTGCAGTTTCTCGCGCCCGCGACACGCAGCGCGAATCCCTACTTTTCACGTGCGTTGCGTGTGGCCAGTTCCAGGTCATAGTGGTTCCATATTAGTAGGTTAATTACGGTATGGTATTTTCGGCGAACAAAATGGTTGTAAGATTTAGTTAAACTATACAGGGTATCCCAATAAAAAACACCCCCCCCCCGCCCTCTCTAACTAAACGCAGAGTATCGGCGTGGAATCGTAGTTGCACCATTCGAAAGCCAAACGGCGAGTTTGCAACAATCTTCAAACCTATATTTTGATTGAATGCGCTATGCTACAAGTCATTCAGTAGAATTTTTCGGCTCCTCGTGGTTGCATACGAGCTAATTTGTCTCAATTTCTCCAAGCAAAATGATAACTAGTAACCGTTGATTGGTTGCAGAGGTCGTTCCTTAATGTTTAAACTGCGTCGTAAAATGGCGCGTTTAAATAAAAATATAGCTTTGATAATTCTTGCAAACTCGCCGCTTCAAGGGCTTTCGAATGGCGTAACTATCATTACGATCCGATACTTCTGCGTCGAGTTAGAGGGGGGTGTTTTTTTATTGGACAACCCTTTACTTGTAGTCTGTATGTAGTCAAATACAGTAGATAAAAAAATTCACAATACCTCAGCCAGCCTCGGAAACTCAAAATCCAGGGCTCGATTCAAGCCCAACAACACCGACATGCCCGAGTACCCGCACCAGAATGCTAAAATAAAATTGCCTCTCATTAGTGCCTTCAGTGCCCATACAAAATGCCACAAAACCCAGCCACATGTTCAGCAACGGATACGTGCAGGCAGATCCACCCACCAAGAGGTAATACCCTAAAAATATAGGCCAATTTCTGCGATAACTCACCAGCTAGCAAAGCGTTAGGTACGACACTCGAGATGTCGATCAACCCCATGCAAAACCTTCAAATTTTAGCTATTAAAACAAAACAAATACAAAAACAAAAAAAAAATGTATATTCTTTCTTACATGATCTTATAGCAAGCATGCTGGAAAAATCACTTATATATAAATTTCTAATGTCCGTGCGCCCGTCCGCCCGCCCGTCCGCCCGTCCGACCGGATCGCTGCGGGACCCCAGGACCGGTTCGGACGGGTCCGGGAGCCCGGGGCGTTTCGGGATTTCGGGATTTCGGTGTATGGGTTCTTTCAAGGGTATTCTAGCCATTACGCGTTTCTTAGATGTTTTTTTAGTAGCTAAGAAGGGAATGAACTTTCTTTCAAGGGTATTCTAGCCATTACGCGTTTCTTAGATGTTTTTAATATTAAAGAAGGGGAAATAACTTTCTTTCAGGGGTATTCTAGCCATTACGCGTTTCTTAGATGTTTTTTTAGTAGCTAAGAAGGGAATGAACTTTCTTTCAAGGGTATTCTAGCCATTACGCGTTTCTTAGATGTTTTTAATATTAAAGAAGGGGAAATAACTTTCTTTCAGGGGTATTCTAGCCATTACGCGTTTCTTAGATGTTTTTTAGTAGCTAAGAAGGGGAATGAACTTTCTTTCAAGGGTATTCTAGCCATTACGCGTTTCTTAGATGTTTTTAGTAGCTAAGAAGGGAATGAACTTTCTTTCAAGGGTATTCTAGCCATTACGCGTTTCTTGGATGTTTTTTAGTAGCTAAGAAGGGAATGAACTTTCTTTCAAGGGTATTCTAGCCATTACGCGTTTCTTAGATGTTTTTTTAGTAGCTAAGAAGGGAATGAACTTTCTTTCAAGGGTATTCTAGCCATTACGCGTTTCTTAGATGTTTTTAATATTAAAGAAGGGGAAATAACTTTCTTTCAGGGGTATTCTAGCCATTACGCGTTTCTTAGATGTTTTTTTAGTAGCTAAGAAGGGAATGAACTTTCTTTCAAGGGTATTCTAGCCATTACGCGTTTCTTGGATGTTTTTTAGTAGCTAAGAAGGGAATGAACTTTCTTTCAAGGGTATTCTAGCCATTACGCGTTTCTTAGATGTTTTTTTAGTAGCTAAGAAGGGAATGAACTTTCTTTCAAGGGTATTCTAGCCATTACGCGTTTCTTAGATGTTTTTAATATTAAAGAAGGGGAAATAACTTTCTTTCAGGGGTATTCTAGCCATTACGCGTTTCTTAGATGTTTTTTTAGTAGCTAAGAAGGGAATGAACTTTCTTTCAAGGGTATTCTAGCCATTACGCGTTTCTTGGATGTTTTTTTAGTAGCTAAGAAGGGAATGAACTTTCTTTCAAGGGTATTCTAGCCATTACGCGTTTCTTAGATGTTTTTTTAGTAGCTAAGAAGGGAATGAACTTTCTTTCAAGGGTATTCTAGCCATTACGCGTTTCTTAGATGTTTTTTAATATCAAAGAAGGGGAAATAACTTTCTTTCAAGGGTATTCTAGCCATTACGCGTTTCTTAGATGTTTTTTAATATCAAAGAAGGGGAAATAACTTTCTTTCAGGGGTATTCTAGCCATTACGTGTTTCTTAGATGTTTTTTTAGTAGCTGAGAAGGGAATGAACTTTCTTTCAAGGGTATTCGAGCCATTACGCGTTTCTTAGATGTTTTTTTAGTAGCTAAGAAGGGAATGAACTTTCTTTCAAGGGTATTCTAGCCATTACGCGTTTCTTAGATGTTTTTTTAGTAGCTAAGAAGGGAATGAACTTTCTTTCAAGGGTATTCTAGCCATTACGCGTTTCTTAGATGTTTTTTAATATCAAAGAAGGGGAAATAACTTTCTTTCAGGGGTATTCTAGCCATTACGCGTTTCTTAGGTGTTTTTTAATATCAAAGAAGGGGAAATACCGTTAACGTTAACCATTAGACTTCCCTTCTCTTTTTGTTTAGGATCAGCTACGGATGTTGGGGGGTTTCTTTCAGGGGGAATAGGAGGAGTGGAAGTGCTTTGGTTTTGGAGGGGGTGCATAGGTAGATCATGGAAGGTATCCGCTCCAAGCGGGAAATATACTAAAGAGAATGGGAAGCACCGTGTATTGCCTTGCCCCCCGGGAGGGCCAGGCAAAAAAAGCCGCGAAGCGGCTTTTTTTGACTGGTTGTTTATAAAAGTTGTTGATTTAGAAAGATACGTATGAAGTTTCAAAGGTTTCGTGAAAACGTGTAGTTTATAGGGGGAGAGTGCGGGCGGCGAGAGAGCAGAGAGCGCGGGTGGCAGATCTGGAGGCCCGAAATAGGTGAAAAATACGCTATAAAATGGTTTTTAAAAAGTTATATACAGTTTTAAACAAATAGACCGTATACTGGGCTGTTACAACACCTCGGGAACGGTTGGGAACACTTTTTAAATGTGAAAACACAATTTATAACCTAAAACCTGGTTAAAACATGATACAAACATCATTAATTTCCACAGGAACATACGTATAAGTAGAATAAAGCTGTAGAAAGACGCAGAATCAATTCCCTCGTATCATAATCATAATATCATCAGCGTGCGTCGCGAAGCAGATGTGCTTTTTTTGAGCCGTGGCTCTTTTTAATGCACTTTTGTCTATAAAAATATATCGGGCGCTAATAACTCAAATTGTGATACATTAATGATACCTTTCTTTGAATTACGATAATATTTTATAGGTCTTTAGTGGGGAGGATGACCATTGCGCGAAAGCATTTGCGCCTAACGACATTTGCGCTCATGCAATTGCGCCGAGACCATATGCGCGCACGACATTTCCGCCAACGACATTTGCGCGCAACGACAATTGCGCCCAACGACAATTGCGCCCAATTCCATTTGCGCGCACGACAATTGCGCTTTATGGGGAAAAGCCAACGTAGGGAGAGAGGAAAGGATTACATAAAGTGGAGATAAAATAGTTGTTTTCATAGGTTTTCTAGTGTTATTATGGTAGTTTAGCGGCAGTCCGACCTACTAGGCCATAAATTACCGGCTGGGTCAGGTGATTTCGGATTCTCAGACTCTAATAGCTATTTCTCTTTTAAACAGCTTTTCCACTTTTTTACGCAGTTTCTTGTCTCTACATACGGGAAACGATCGGAATATGTATTTCTAATGTGAGAAAGATATAAACTCGTCATGGAAAGGTTTTTAGAGCCATTTTCGGATTACCTGGTAAACCCATTACCCGGAAACAAGGCGTTTTTCTCGGCGTTCTGGCCACCAAACACTGTTTTATAACAAGTATTTCGTGCTCGCAACAGTACTGCGGCTGAAAACATTAGAAATCGTGAGAAAATTGAGGCAAACTCAGTAACTGCAGTTTTTTTACTGAAACACGGCAATTCAAGCCAAAAAGACCCAATAAGGCCAAAACAACCCGCTCGGGGTGATAATTTGCCGTCTACAAAGCCTACCTGTCGCTACACAACGTTTAAAAAGCATACAAAGCTTCAAAAACATCCATCTTAGGTAATCCTCTCACCCCTCCCTACGTTGGCTTTCCCCCATAGAGCGCAAATGTCGTTGCGCGCAAATGGAAGTGGGCGCAATTGTCGTTGGGCGCAAATGTCGTTGCGCGCAAATGTAATTGGCGGAAATGTCGTTGGCGCATATGGGCATAGGCGCAATTGCATACGCGCAAGTGTCGTTGGCGCAAATGCTTGCGCGCAATGGTCATCCTCCCCTTTAGTGTGGTTCGCGAGCCGTTGGAACCCGTATTTTGCTCTAACACGTATTTACATCAGATTTGGATTCGGATCGGACCGGATTTTGGTTTACATCCACACGACATCTCCCGTTCCACGAACTACATAACCCCTCGACCCACCCGGGAGCCACAAAAATCCAATTTTTCGACAAAATCTTCCACCGGGGACCCAGCAAAACTCCTGCAGTCCCGCAAAAACGACCCACCGCGTGGCCAATTTGCGGGGCGCACTAAATGAACCAGCGTTTTTCCGGGGTGGTGCCAAAATGAGGATCGGCGGAGCGGTAAGGTTTGATCTCATTTCGAGAGTGACAAGGCCGAAGATCCCGTTCTACTCCGTTGCTGCACGGGTTACTGTAATTTTGGACCGGGGCCCGGCTCCAATGTGATTTTCGTTCTTTTCCGAGCCTTAAGTTCAGCCGCGTAAATGGGGTTATTCAAAAAGTTGCCCGCAAAATTGGGCCTTTGGCCTTGCAGGCCTCATCATAGTGCGGGAATCCAATAAAGATTGTCGGGTTAGGGCAAGGTGATGGAAGTTTCCTGCCGAGGATGGTAGTCACTTTTGTATAGACTTCGACGAACGCCCCGCTGAATTAAGTATACATTTTGTGTTTAAAATTATTCTTAGTTTAGTTTAGTTTGTTTAGTTTTTAGTTTGGTTTAGTTTGTTCGTCACTAGTAATTTTCGCAATTTGTGCTTTGTTGAACCTGGAGATTTAAGGGTGCGCTTTTCAGAAATTTCGCTCGTTTCAAAGTCGTGTCTTTTGGAAAGCGTCAATTTTTGGAAGTACACGAATTTTCGGCGATGAAAAAATCTAAAACCGCATTAATGACTGGCTGCTTTATTCGATTTTTTATGTCGAACCCGGCCGCAAATCAAAACCGGAAATGAGGGACTGCATAGCGCTAAAAAGAGGACCCACCGCAAGAAACCCTAAAAACCGCACTGCAAAGTGCAATTACCGTTTTTCATGCGCATTTCGTCCTTTTCAAACCATTATAATTTTTAATACAGCTAGATATAGTTCGCTACGGGGATGTTTCCCCCGGATATTCCCGCGACTTGGGCCTGGAAGCGTAACCTCTCCACATGGCCCTACTGGTCTGCTCAAGCGCGGAAGGAGCAGGAAATTCTGATTGCCGCCCAGCAGAATCCATTTGGGCAGGTAACCCGGAGTTTTATGGGGTATAAGGTATCTGTACGTGCGTTTTTAGCATCGGGGCGTAGGCCGAAGCCTAAAGTCGCAAAGCACAGGCCATTCGGGTGTTAATAAAAACTTTTTAGCTATTCCACTATGTTCATCCGAAATATTTTGAGTATATCCGGCACGAGTGCTTGGAGCTGAATGGTAGCTACAGTCTACTACGGAACTACCCTCTAGGTATATAGGTTAGGTCTCTC